GAAAGAAATGCCAACCAATGGTCGCATCGAATCGGCGACTACTCGATGGTGTCGGCCATCGGGAAGGGCTCCTTCGGCCAAGTGTTCAAAGCCATCCATAAATCACCTGCGAATGGAAGCGCTGCCGAGGAATGCAAATACTGTGCCATCAAATCGATTGAGAAGAAGTGTTCGCCAAATTTGGGCAAAATCTTGACCGAAGTGTCCATTCATTTGCGGCTCAAAAACGACAATATTTTGCAATTATTTAATGTAATCGAAGACAAAACTAATGTGTATTTAGTGTTGGAGTTGTGTTTCGGCGGAACTCTTACACAACTCATCCAAATGTGTGCCAAACAGTCGAAGAGCAGCTGCAAAACGAGCGACAATTGTCTTCATCCCATTCTGGACTACTCAGTGATCCGCAATATAATGAGACAATTGTGTAATGGATTGGATTATCTGCACCGCAACTCAATAGTCCACAGAGACCTCAATCTTAACAATGTATTGGTTTTGCATCCGTTTGAAAGCGATAGTGATTTAGTGGTGAAGATCGCCGACTTTGGTCTCGCCATTGATCTCAACTCGTCTTCATTACAACACTCGTCTAAACCTCACAGAGAAGAGCACGTAATCCCACTCCCGATTGGGACCACAATATGCGGTACTCCGGGCTTCATATCGCCGGAGGTTTGGTCTCATTACGTTTGGCAAAGCGGCTTCTCACTATAAAAGTCAAACCCAAGTTAAGACAAGCGTACATAACGGCCGATATGAGGGTTTCCTCCCGAGCATACAACAGAAGTAAAATATAAATTTTGTAACAAAATTTGAGTCAAATATAACCAACAATTAAGCCATTGTGTGATTGTTTGGAGATATGTTTTGTCGAAACAATATTTAGTAAATTATGTTTTTTGTTTGACAGGATTTAAGCAACTTTTCTCCGTTTGCTTGCGATCTGATCTGTCGTCTGTTGGCCCCAAACCCTACGGATCGGCCACTCATTGAAGACATACTGAATCATCCATTAATTGAAGGCCCGCTTACAACCGATCGATTGCTTTCCATTAATAAGACCACTAAAGATCTGCAGTTAGCCATCGATACCGACGGAAACGTTAATTTAAAATTTAACAAAAAATTACAAACAATTCAAGTGTCCAGAAATGGACTCAATATATGTATTACTGGCCAACAAAATAAGTCCAAAGTTTATAATTTTTATAATTTACCACAAAATGAATGGAAAAAGTATTTTTATGCGCAAAAGTTTGTGCAATTAGTGAGCGGAAAGACACCCAAAATCACCATTCATTGCAAAAACGATCACAATTTAAGTGAATATATCATAAAGTGTTGTTTAATGGAAAACAATGACTTCGAAGTCACACTTTTCAATACCATCACAAATGAAAGCAAAAAGGTTTTGGCAAATGATTGCAATCAATTGAGTGAAACAGTGGCCGCAAAACGTGCCAAAGAGTTGCGTGAATTGAAAACAATGACTTCGAAGTCACACTTTTCAATACAATCACAAATGAAAGCAAAAAGGTTTTGGCAAATGATTGCAATCAATTGAGTGAAACAGTGGCCGCAAAACGTGCCAAAGAGTTGCGTGAATTTTGTTTGACAAAAGAAAAGGAGTTCCAAAGGGAGCGAAACAGGACTGGAATCGATTGCTTTCCCATTTGTTTTGGCAGAAAAAGCAAAATCAAAACCGAAAGCACGCAAACACTTTCAACACAACAGCCATTCATATCGAGTCAGATCTTGAGATCCATTCAAATCGATGGCATTGGAGAAGCGGCTCAGGTATGGACTTATCCTTAATGTATTGTTTGCAATGGTTTCTAATGAAAAAGTTATCATTTTATACTCACAAAAGCTGTCAAACGGTGTCTTCAATGTTACGTTCACTGATGGCTCGTCTCTGTGTTTTAGAAGTGATTCCGAAATTCCGGTTATTTTTTACCCGAAAAACGGGTCAGAAATGAGGTATTAATCGATGAAAAGATGACAAAATCATAAATTTCTAATGAATTGATTTCTAACACATTTTTAGGTTCAAAAAGAGCGACTCATTGCCAGAGTTTGTAAAACAAAAGTTAGCGCTTTTGCCACAAATTGTCAATAAATTAAAAGATACTCAAAGTATTAGTTAATATTTTTTATATTATAAATTGTAAGTATTTTTTATAATCAATAATTAAATTATATGTAAATTTTATAAACGATTTGATTTTGTGAAGAAAAAGCAATTTTATACTTAAATTAAAGTTTCTGTTATACATAACTCTATTATACCGTAATATAAAAGCGAATAAAAAAACAAAACAGAAAGCTATTAAAACTAATGCTAAACATAAACTAATTGTGTTTTTAATACTAATTTCCATACATTTATCATAAAATCAAGTTTTTTGACGAAACAAAAAAGAGTTTAAAAAACATTTCAAATCAAATGAAAAGTTTCAATGAAATGCCAAAAGCAATGGGAAAGGGATGTATGGATGGGACGGCAGGACGACTGGTGGCGTCCCCTCTCGAGCCCAGTCTCGACTCCCATAGTGTTTGCACGCATTGAACGCTCACTTCCTTTCAGTCACACGTCGTCGACATTTTGCAGGTATTTATGCGAACATTATATCATTATTTCCTTAATTTTATAGTTAATTACAATTTATTTTCATTTATTTTGAATTAATTGTGTGTTTAAACACGTGTTGAACTCATTTGATACCAAAAAGGAGTGAATCGTCCATTAATTATACATTACTATTGCCTTAACAGTGGGAACACGTGTTTGCCGTTCATATTCATAAGAAGTCCTCTTAAGCCGTACTCTCGAGACTAATGGCGAGTAAACGTAAAGGAAAGCAAAAGGAAGAGCAGCCGGTCCTCGCTTTGGGACCGCAGGCTCTGGAGGGCGAGAATGTCTTCGGCGTCGCCCATATATACGCCTCGTTTAACGACACCTTCGTTCACGTGACCGACCTTTCGGGCCGCGAGACCATCGCTAGAGTGACCGGCGGTATGAAAGTGAAGGCCGACAGAGACGAGGCGAGTCCGTACGCGGCTATGTTGGCCGCTCAGGACGTGGCCGAGAAGTGCCGCACAATCGGCATCAACGCTCTGCACATCAAATTGAGGGCAACGGGTGGCACCAGGTTTGACATGATTTGACCACTTTATGTATTTGATTGGTGTTTAACTGAGTGTTGTGTTTGTGCAGAACTAAGACTCCCGGTCCCGGAGCTCAGAGTGCTCTGCGAGCGTTGGCCCGCTCTGGCATGAAAATCGGTCGCATCGGTTAGTTATCGTGTATTTTGTTACCAATGATTGTGTTTATTAATGGTTTTTCATGCATTGCAGAGGACGTGACACCCATTCCGTCGGACAGCACCAGAAGGAAAGGCGGTCGTAGAGGAAGACGTTTGTAATTGTAATCAATCATTGATTGGAATTATAATAAAAACATTTAATAAATTGTTTTGAAAATATGTTTAAACTATTATTATTTTCTGATAATTTGGTTTAATTATTGAATAATTTTCAAATTTATAATAAACCCTTTCATCGCCTCTAACCCTATGTTTTAAAATGTATTCATTTGTTGCTTATTATACGAACATTTTCTTAAACAGTGGATTCATTTAGAGTATAATTTATATCATTTTTGGGTTATTTTTAAAACTACAGTACAATTACATTATCATATTATAATCATTAAAACAATAGCCTTTCCATTAGCGCAGAGTTTCTAATTTGAATGCATTTATCGTTTTGAATGCAATGGAAAACATTCAATAGACGGGACAGTATTTATAGTCTAATAAAAGTGCCGTAATATTAACATACAATCGGTATAAACAGTGTTTTCATTATCATTCAATACAATATATTACCGGTATTTGCATACAATCGACGCAATCGTATTGTCTGTGGGATTAGTCTCAAAGACAGTCTCATTGTGTAATATTAGGCTATTCTTTCAATTGTGAATACAATCATTAATTTCCGTGAATTAAATATAACACAAAAGCAATAAATTAATGGTTTTTCTCGTTGTGGAGCATTAGATGTTAGATTTGATAAACGAGAGGTACAATCGAGAGAGAGAGAGAGAGAGACCGACTGTTTGTATATTTGATTGAAACGCCTAATCAACTAAACATAATGGTAATAATACCTGTGTATGTATAAGATATACAGTGTTATAGAGTTCAACCCCATTATAATTTTTGGGTCATTAACTTCTCGTTCCATTAAATTTTTGATAAAACTTTTGTAAAAACTTTTTTTTCTCCATAAATATACAAGATTTTTATTTTAAAATCTGGTTTACATACAAACAAACACTTCAAAATCCAGTAAAACTGCAAAAATAACATAAATACAAACATATATCTACTAAAAATCACTAAAATATAAATTACATTAAAGAATTACAAGACATTGAAATTTAAAAATCGGCTCAAAAAAATATGAGACAGAAAAATACGATTTTGGTATTTATTAAATAAATTTGGACCAACTCTTGAGTTTATTCTTCAGGAACCCGAGCGGACCGACAGATGCCTTATAGCCGTAGTGATTCTTGAGGGGATCCGTGAAAGTGTGATGTGTGTAGTATTTGCTGAGTTGTTCCATATCGAGTCCAGGGGGCAGGTGGTGGGGCTCGTCTTTGAGCGCTTCGTGCATTTGTTTGATCCTCTGTTCGTAACCGACGGGCACTTCCTCTCCGCCGTGCGGTCCACTGAAACTGAAGCTAACGGATCCCTCGTCGGGCTCTGAGTCGGGATCATAGGTGGGCTTCTCGACCACCGTTTCGTCCACATAAGAGGCGCTGGGATTGTAATGCTCTCCAATGTTTAGCTTTCTATTAGCGCTTTCACTTCCGTAACCAGAGTTGGCGTTTTGTGGCACTGAAGGTCCCGATGGACTGTCTATGGGAACCCATCTATTGCTTTGATGGTTAGACGGCGCAAATGGCTTCTCATAGTTAACCGGTGAATACGATGAGGGACTGGCATTCATCTCACCGTTGGGCTGATAGTTAGGATAAAAGTTGGGCTGATATGGCTGTGGGCTGTACTGACCATTCATATAGTGGCCACTGTTTCCCATACTCTGATCATTTGGATAATGACCACTATTTCCCATATTCTGATCTATTGGATAATGACCACTATTTTGATTATAATAATTTTGGGGATTGTTGTTTGGATAGTAGAAATTCTGTCTGTTTTCCCAATTATTATTATTATTGGCATAATTGTGAGGAATATGAGAATTTTGGCCATAATTTGAATTGTAAAGCGGCTGTGAATTAAACTGATTGTTATAAGTATCGGAAAACCTTCGGATTCGATGATTCTTATGATTGACATTTGGCTTCCATAGGAATGATGGCAGTGATGGCGGTGGCAGTGGTGGCAATGGCACGGGTGGGCCCATGTTTTGTGGCGGTTCAGCATAAATGGGATAGTTTCCAGTGTTATCGTAAGCCATTTGCTGGTCGGGCCCCCGAAGGGCATCCATGTCTCCAAAGTTGTATTCAGTAACCTCTGGATTGGGATCGGGATATGACTTCTCTTTGACAACTGTAGGCGCTTTCAAAGGTATAGTGCCTTCGATCTTAAACTGAGGAGTTCTCAGGTATTTGTTTTGCCGAAAAGTCAGATGCAATTTGTTTGGCTGTACTTTAACTATAGCCGGAAGTAAGGGATTTTCAAATGAAATAGTTTTGAACTTTTTCTTTCCGGCGTAAACACTGGATATGATAAGTGATGTGACGGTCGGCACAAACACCACCAAAAGGCATACTCTAGCCATTCTCGTTGACCTCATCTTTGCGATTATTATTGTGTTTTTTCAACAAAACTTCATAACTGAATGCAAACGAAACGACAGACAAAACCGATTGAATCGAGAAAACGTTTGGCAAAACACTGAGTCTTGAGTTGATTTGGTGTTCACTTTAATGAGAGAACGAGTCGACAGTCAGTCAGACACACAATTAATTGGTTTACAATTAGCGCCGTTGAGTTTCGCTCTTCCCAACGGTTTCCTTTGACCTCAATTTCAACTTTTCTCTCGTAATACTTGCAGAAAGAATATCTGTTTTGAGTATCTCTTACCGGTTCCCCAAATGAGGACATCGGGTCCTCAGACTCCCCAATACTCGCTATTTGTGTGCATTTTGTCAGATGTAAGTCATATAGAGACTAAACATTGCACTGGCAGTCAAGATCAAGGCTGGAATAAGCGCTCAAACTTTATAAATTGTGAATAATTAGAGTGCCATAAGTTGGTCAACACTATAACAAGTGTTTGCGATATGCGTGACTTTCCATTCTCTCTCTCTCTCTCTCTCTCTCTCTCTCTCTCTCTCTCTCTCTCTCTCTCTCTCTC